ATTCCCACTTGACAGATGAGGAAAATCTCATCCATGTCACAATGTCCCCCAATAGGCTCAATCTTTAGCAGGTGCCCTGTGGAAACCTCAGATGGTTGCAGCTCCCTGGGCAGATATCCGGGCATCAGCAGCCCACCTGAGATCAAGGGGCATGCATTGCTTAACCAGGGGACTGGAGGACTCACGTCACTGTGCAGGGCCACCATCTTTTCTCGCCAAAGGTGTATTTCTTGGGCCATTGCAGCCTGTCTCTGGCTGATGGCCACCAGCTCCTGCCTCAGGCCAGCCAGCTGGGCCTCCAGGGAACCCATCTCCTTTGGCCTTTTGTCCTGGGTGTCTTCCTGGGACAAACTAGCCAGTGACAAAAGGAAAACTCAGGATCAACGTTGGCATAGGCACTTGGAGGATGGACTCCAACAGAACAAGTGTCACCTGAAGAAAAGCACTACCCAATGGAAAGCACAGAGCCACAGAACTGGCTGAAAGTCTTCATTGACATCTGCTGCCTGGGGGACCCTGGCTAGGTCATTTCCCCCTGGGGCCGCAGTAACCTCATCTGCTCTCTGAGGTCCCTCCTAGATTGGATCAATCTTATGGACATGCTAACCCAAGTGTTCTGCTCCACTGACCTACCCTCCTCAACCCCCAGGCAACTGGTTTCCCTGGTGTAGCTTTCTTGCCCTCCTTCCCTCCTCTTCTCTTTGTCAGTCAGTTTTGGGGCCTTACCCTTGCCACTCAGACGTGTGCTGGAGCACCCCGCTTTCCAGCTCCTGTAAGGAAAAAGAGTACATAATGAAACTGATGAAAACATCAGCGCTGCACTGTGGGGATTCGTGGTCTCCTATGGCTGGGCCCGTCTCTGCTGAGGAGCATATGAGTCGCCACAAACTGCTGGGCTCCAGAAATCTTGACCTTAAGTCCCAGCTAGACTTTTCAGAGCCTGGGCTTCTCTTCTACCCTCCCACCAAGATGAGGCCTCCAAGGTCAGCTGGGATTAGGCACAAACCATTGTCCCCAGAGTGGTGAGGTCACTTGTTAGTCCCCTGAGGAAAGTTTTCCAACTCAGCTCTTAAGTCACATGGACAGTCTTATTCCTCCCTAATCTTTTCATATACTACTAACAGAGCCAACAGGAAGAGACAGAAAGTGAAATTCCATTTCAAATTACTGTAGACACCATAAAATATTTCAGAGTCTCCCTGCCAAAACAAAACCAGGAACTATATGAGCCTAATTACAAAACACTTTTTAGACAAATAAAGTAAACAATCGGAAAAATAGGAGTTGGTCATGCTTAAGCCGAGCTGAGATGGTAAAAAAAGATAATTCTACCTAAATAATTTACTTATTCAGTGTGATATCAAAGAAACTACCAACAATTATTTTACACAGCTGGAAAAAACAATAACAAAATTCATCTGGAAGAAGAAAAGGTACTGAGTAGCAAGGGAACTAATGAAAAGAAATGCAAGGGAAGGTGGCCCAGCTCTACCAGCTCTTCAATTGTATCATCAAGCAGCAAGCATCAAAACTACTTGGTACTGGCTAAGAAACAGAGTGGGGACCAGTGGAATAGTTTAGGTAGGCAAGACACAATGGTCAATTGACTATACTAATCTAGTATTGGAGAAATCCAAAGACTCCAGCTTTGGGATAAGAAATCCCTATTTAACAAAACCTGCTGGGAAAACTGGAAAAGCGTAGGGCAGAAACGGGGCTGAGACCACCATTTTACATTTTACATCCTACACCAAGATAAAGTCCAAATGGGGGCAGAATTTAAATATAAAAAATGAGACTATAAGCAAACAAAGAGAGCAAGGAATAGTTTACCTTTCAGATCTATGGAGAAGGGAAGGATTTATGACCAAAGAAGAGATAGAGAACATTATATGTAATGCCAAATGGATAATTTTGCTTACATTGAATTGAAAAGTTGTTTGCAGAAACAAAGCCAATGCATCCAAGATGAGGAGGGAAATAGAAAACCAGGAAAGAAGTTTTACAACAAGGGTCTCTGATAAAGGCCTCATTTGTAAAATATGTAGAGACTGGGGTCAAAATGATAAGAATAGAAGTCATTCCCCAATTGATAAATGGGCAAAGGATATGAACAGGCAGTTCTCAGAGGAAGAAATTAAAGCTATCTAGAGCCATGTGAAAAAATGTTCTAAATCTCTTCTGATTAGAAAAATGCAAGTCACCAGGACTCTGAGGTATCACATCACACTTATCAGATTGGCTAATGTGACAAAACAGGATGATGGTCAATGTTGGAGAAAATGTGGGAAAATTGGAACACTAATGCATTGTCAGTAGAGTTGTGACCTGCTCCAACCATTCTGGAGAGCAATTTGGAAGTACGTGCAAAGGGCTCAAAACTTGTGCCTACCTTTTGACCCAGTGATAGCACTTCTAGTTCTGTTTCCCAAAGAGGTCATAAAAAATGGGAAAGAGACCCACATGTACAAAACTATTAGTCTCTCCTCTTGTAGTGGAGGACAATTGGAAATTGAGGGGATGTCCATCAACTGGGGAATGGCTGAACACGTTGTGGTATGTGAATGTGGTGGAATCCTATTGTGCTATAAGAAATGATGAGCTGGTGGACTTCAGAAAAACCTAGAAAGATTTATATGAACTGATGCTGAGGGAAATGAGCAGACCCAGGAAAATATTGTACACATTTACAGCCACACTGTGTGATGACTGACTTTGATAGACTTGGCTCTTCTCAGCAATGCAAGGATGTAAAAAGACAACTCCAAAAGACTCGTGATGGAACAGGCTATCCACATGCAGAGAAAGAACAATAGAGCCTGAATGCAGATGGAAGCATACTGTTTGATTTCCTTTTACTTTGTTGTTTTGTTTTATTGCTTCATCCTCATGGTTCCTCGCATTAGTTCTAATTCTACTTTACATCATGACTAATGGGAATATCTACTTAACCTGAATGTATAAGTAGAGCCTATATCAGGTTGCACACTATGTTGGGAGGAGGGGAGATGGAGGGGGCGACAATTTAAAACTCAAATCTTATGGAATTGAATCTTAAAAACTATCAATTAGTTAATTACCTATTTTTAAAGAAGAAGAGGAAGGAGGAGGAGGAGAAAGAGGAGGAGGAGGAGGAGAAGGAGGAGGAGGAGGAGGAGAAGGGGGAGGAGGAAGAGGAGGAGGAGGAGGAGAAAGAGGAGGAAGAGGAGGAGAAGGAGGAGGAGGAGGAGGAAGAGGAGGAGGAGGAGGAGGAGGAGGAGGAGGAGGAGGAGAAGGAGAAGGAGAAGGAGAAATAATGCTTGGAAGTGTGACCAAAATCAAATTTTGTGGGTCTTATGCAAAAAAAGAAAAAAAGGAATTAAGTAAAAATGGTGGAACACAGAGCCCAGGAAAGCTGACGTCAATCTTACTGGAAAGGAAAAAAAATAAGAGAAAATGACCTGCTGGCTTTCCCCCCATCAGGTGTCTGTGGTGCTTTCTCCAGTAGACAGGCAAAGGATATGAACAGGCATTTTTCCAAAGAAGAAATGCAAGGGATCAATGATCAAATGAAAAAAATGCTCCGAATCACGGATAAGTAGAGAAATGCCCATGAAGGCAACTCTGAGGTTCTACCCCCTACCTGTCAGGTTGGCAAAGAGGACAGTCAGGCAAAATGACCTAAGCTGAGCAGGCTGTGAGAAGTCAGGCACATTACTGTTGGACTCGGGAAGCTAGGGGGCGCTAGAGTGCGTAGAACTCTAGGCTTGGTCTCAGATAGTTAGTTGCTGTGTGATCCTGGGTAAGATAATTCACCCTGTTTGCCCCCATTTCCTCACTTTAAAAATCATCTGGAGACGGAAATGGCAAACCACTCCAGGACCTTTGCCAAGAAAATTCCCAAATGGGGCGGCGGAGGCGAAGAGTGCACCTCACTAGACACGACTCAACAATGCTCTAAGTAGAAACTGGAAACTAGTCCAGCCATTCTGAAAAGCAGTTATGAGTGTTGCCGCCAGAGATAATAAAACATGTCTACCCACTCACCTGGCAAGACAACTCCTGGGCCTATTCCCCAAAGAGATCAAACAAAGAGGAAAAAGTCCGATCTGGACAGGAATATTGATGGCCAATTTTTCTTGCTGTGACAAAAAACTGGAAACCCCGCACTTGGCAAGAGCTGAACAAATGATGGAGTTGGAAAAAAAGAAATTATGGAGTAGGGACTGAATCTACCATACTCTTAGAGATGATGAAAGGGGTGGTGTTCAGAGAAAGCTGGGAAGACTTGCATGAACTGATGTGCAGAAGAGTGAGCAGAAGCACAAAGACAAACCACTGTGAAAGAGTGCAGAACTCTGTTGAAGGCAGTGACCAGCTACTCTTCTGGCAAATGATGCAACTTCTGACAGAGGGGATGGACCAAGGCAGAAGGAGAAATACATCTTTTAGACATGGCCCAGGAGGAACTGTTTTGCTTGTCTCTGTATGTTTGTAAGAAGTGGTTTGTTTTTCCGTTTTTCAAATGGATAGGAGGCGAGAAGAAAAGAAAATAGATTCTTGTTCATTAAAAGAATGAAAACAGAAGCATCTTTCTCTAGCTAATGTGACTTCTCCCTCTTCTGATGCCCGCAGAGCTGACCCTGGGGTCCCAAAGACAGTGGCAGCAGAGGACACCAGCTGGCAGATCCTGCCAAACCAGGGTTGCCTTCAAGGAGGGCATAGCAATAGGCTTTATGGCTGCCCTACAAGAAACAGCAGAGCCAACACCCTCTACTGCTTCACTCCCATTTGTCCTGTTAGGTCTCCTTGGCACCTAGATGTCTCCTCATGAGGAGACTGCCAGCTCCTCATGGGCAAGGACTGTGGGGTTGTTTGTTTTGGTTTTTGCCTTGGGACAGTGCCTGACCCACAGTAGGTCATGCTTCATAAGTGCTGCTTGGCTGAGTAACCCTAGCTTAAGAGACAGGAACTGGATGGTGCATGAGTCGTCTGTGTGTCCTGTGCAAAGCTTTCCTGGCACTCAGTGGGGTGCTCACCTGGAAATCTGGTGTGAATTCTCCTGATTCCCACACGTCCTGTCTCCTGCTGCTACCCTTTGCTGCCAACCAGGAGAGCATAGCAGGGTGGAAGGTCCGGAGTCCAGAGGGGTAGAAATACCAAGCACCTAGCACATGGGAGGAAAGGCTAATCTGAGACTGAGTCTCAAGAGCCAGAACGGAACTCCATGCGGACTGACACTGGCAGTGTCACATCAAAGGGGGCATAGACCGCAGCCCAAAGGAGGCAGATGCATGAGGGGCATCATGATCTGGAAGGCTACAGCTAGAGCCCCTTCTACCCCAAGAGTTCACTCTCTCATGATCCTCTCAGAAGTCATTAGACACATTTGGATGATGGCAAAAATGAGGGATAAGAATAAGCTGGGGAGAGGACATGAAGACTGAAGCCAGAAGTCATGCCTCCTGGTCCCAAGCCTGGTCAACACAGAGCTCCGTCCCTTCTGAATGACGAGCAGGATGCTCTACAGACAGGTTGCCTGCAGACAGACCTTGGTGACCTTCAGCTTGTGGTGTCATCATTTCTGAGGTGGACTTTATCTCACAGTATGGGCTGAGGAATGGCGTGGCTCCTGACCAAGAGTCCAGGCCTTCTGGGATCATCCCGGGAGGACCACCCTGTGTGTTCTCACCAAAGAAAAGGGACGAAGCCCTCCAGACCTGGCATTGGGTATGTCCTGCCCTCATAACCGATTCCTTCCTAAGTCAGCTCCTCTACCAATCACCCACCCTCCAGTACCTTGTCTGTGACCACGGAGGGCACAGATAAAACACCTCCTTGCTCCAAGTGCGGGTCATGCTCAAAGTGGGCAGGACAACCACCCATACCCTGCAGCCTGAGGCTCTGAGGCCTGCATACAGAAAATGCACAATCAAAGTGTGTTGGGCTGAATGGAGAGGAGAATGAGAGACAAGGCATAATTCTCACCCTTTAGGCACGAGAACGTGTCCGTCCGTGACCTGGTTGCCTTTTGTTGGTGATTTTGTCCCTTTGGCTCCCTAAAGGCTCCCCTTCAAAGCTCTGTCTTCCAAACTGTCCTCTAGCTGCCGTGTCCCCAAGCCCTTGTCTGTTCCCCCTACCCCAACTGCCCACCCCAGCTGCCCTGGGGACTCAACAATGCTCACCATAATCCAGCAAAGCCACAAGAAACAGCATGCCCAAGACAGAGAGGAGCAACTTCTTCCCAGTGGAAAAGCTCCTGGATTTCATGGAGATGAAGGAGGAGATGTTAAGGTCTGCCCTTCCCCATCACAGGATCTGGTGAGACCCTCTCTGCGTGGCAAATGAAACCCCAAAGTGTGTGCCCCCCCCACTCACCCCCTGCCACTGGGCACTGAACATGTGGAGACCTGGGGTTTAATGGACAGCCCTCAGGGTAAAGTGCGAGTAGTAAAGTTGGCCTTTGTGAAATGTATTCATGTTGTTAGGATAGGTGACATGCTGCCCTTTGTGAGGTCAGGTGGCAGATGTGTCCTGCAATTAGGCAGTCTTCTTGTTTCTAAATCCTTCCAGTTCTTGTCAATTGGGACTTGGAAGAGCTGCAGGAAGAACTGCTGCTAAAGTGGGATTGTCACCATTGGCCCAGCCTGTGGCCCCAGGAATCCAGAGCTGGGGTGGCTAACCTGGAGGCCTCAAGGACATATGTGTCCCTCGAGGTCCTCCAGTGTGGCCATGGTTCACAGAATCAATCCCCTTCAGAAAAGGATTTGTTCCATAGAATTTGAACTCAGTCCAAAGGCCTCCCCAAGGACCTAGGAGGCCACATGTGGCCTGGAGGCCGCAAGATACCCACCCCTGCTCTAGAGGTTCCTGGACTCAGCCCTGGAGGCAGCCTAGAATCCTAGGCATGCTCCTCCACAGAGAAACTGCTAGAATGACCTGGCCACCTGGAGGTCTGGGCAGAAAATTCTGGATTCAAACCCAAAGTAGGGAGTGTCCCTGGCAACTCAGGACCCGCCGACTGGCAAAGGTGAACTCACCAGAGTCAGTTGTGATCAGAGGCAGGAACTACTGAGGAGAGATCTCCTAAAAGAAACTCAGGAAGACAATCCCCCGATAGTGAGAGCCAACCCACTTCCCTGAAGAACCAAGGGTAATGGGGGCTGGCCTGTGCCGGTGAATGCCGAACAACCAGCTCTGGAGGAGGGCAAGGCACACGCAACCCACTTTTGCCATCATCTTCTTCAGTGGAGACACTCAATCAGGGCCTGAATGGTAGCTGACTTTGACAAGCAGTTTCCAGCTGGTTCCAGCACACCCCTGACCCTACCTGACCCTGTCATAAGATTCATGGCATAAAAGTCTGAAAAAGCTGGAAAAGAACAGGACAAAGCACATGGGGAAATTGATCTGAGGGACTGTGGAGTCCTTGGGAGCTGTGGATCTTTGATTCTGGCAGGCCCCAGGTAGTCCTCACTGACCTGGTGAAAACATAGATGTCCTGCAGGGAGACAGCTGTGGTCAGGCGGTACCAGGTGTTATGAAGGCACCAGCGGAGCAGGCCAAAGAGCCAACCTGCAAAAGTCCCAGCAGAGAGATTGAAAGGCTTCACCCTGCAAGCCCATCATGTCCCAGAGCTAGCCCCTTCCCAGCCTGCCAGCTCTGAAGCCGCTTCTTGCTATTCTGGTCTCGCATCCTCCCAGGGCTCTGTAGCTGTGCTTGGGGATCTTTCTCTCTTCAGCCCATCTCTACACGCTGTCCTAGAGTTACTCTAGCCGGGCCCAGCATGTCCCTACATAGGAATGAGGAATCTCTTCTAGGTGCACTGCAGGAACTACCCTGGGCACTGTGCCCACCCACTGGCAGAACCCACCTGAGAAGTGGATGGCCATCCACCCCAGGAAGGGCCAACTTGGGAAGCACTGTTCTTTAGGTTGCCTGCAGAGCCAGGCTGGTCCAAAAGCGAGTGCCCTGCAAGGAAGGGAAGAAATGAGGATTCACCAGAAGGAGAGACAAGTGGACCTGGAGCATCCCCCTTACCAGGCTTGAGGGCTTGAGCACTCCCACCCTGCAAACCCAGACTGCAGAGCTCTCTTCCCCGCCCCCAGCTATGGGTCACCCTCTGAAGTCAGTGGGGCAGTGCCTGGGGGATGGGGCTCTAGGGAGGAGAAGTGATGCCTACCTGCACAGTCATCCTCAGACCTATATCCTGAGGAGGATCCAGGGGTGCTGCAGGTGATTGTGGCCAGGAGAGGGGATGGTGAGAGGCCTTTGACCCTACTTGACTTCCTCCTCCGAGTCCTGGGGAACAGCAGGTATGAAGAGCAAAGATAGGAGAGTGGAAGAAAGCAAGGGTGAAAAAGAAAGGGAGGGGAATGAGACTTGGCTGGAGACTTTGAGGTTGGAAAGAAATGATACCTAAAGCCTCTCTTCCTGTTCTTATTCCTTAAACAGATGAATGATCTTTCACAGCAGAGGCAGGATTGAACCAAGCCACAGCTCCCATGGGCCAGGGAGCACCTCTTTCCAAATTAAACTAGCATGATGAGGTATGAGAAAAGCGAAGAGCCACCTGAAGCTGTCTCGTCCCCCACAGGCCCTTGACCCAAGTGGCTTCCCGTGCTGCTGCTGGGCCCTGAAACTCACTCTAAGAACCACGTGCATTGGGGCTAGGGAAAAGAGTTCCGTGGCTGAGAGGGGTTGTTCCCTACCCAGCTTGAGGTCAGGGGACCTGGCCTTTTCCATGCTCAAAGTTGCCCCGCCCTATTTCCTGTTCTCAGACAGTGAAGGCAGCAGTAGGCCAGATTGGGGTAGAGGAGGGAGAGATGGTGCTGGGGACAGGGAATTCTCACCTTTGTGAGGAAAGAAAGCAATAGAGTGATGTCTCCACCAAAAATGGGGGCAGGAAAGCAATATGCACATGGCAGCAGCTGAGGGCCTTGGCTGCCATGGGCAGTTGTGATGGTGAAGGTGGCTTAGCCTTGCTCTGGCTCCTCTTACCTGAGGGAACTGTCATTGCATTGAATGTGCTGGCCGACCACAGGGGAACTGCAGCCACTGCTGCTGGTGCTGCTGCCGCGCCATCTCCATCAACGTGTAGGTGGTACCGGAGGCGCAGGCGCTCACTGCGCCGAGACATCTTCCAAGGGAATTCTAGAGATTCCCCAAAGAAGGAAAAAGAATGAGAAGCAGTGCTTACTGCCTGAGTGACGATGCTATTTTCTGGCAGACCCTGAGAAGGGTGTTAAGGGGGTGCCCTTGAAGGACAGGGACCAAAAGCCCCAGACTAATTTCTCCAAAAGGTTAGCTGGGCTGGCACAGAGAGGCACTCTCCTAAAGTGTTTGTGAAGTGGCTCCAAAGCACATTGATGATGGCTGCCTAGCAGGGCCAGGCCCAGCAGTCTCATGCCTGATCTCAGCATTGGTTCATCCTGAGCAGCAAGTCGTCTTTCAAGAGGATCCTGCAGGAGGCTTCCCTGAGGAAGTGGAGGCTCCACTCTCTGCTGCCTCCATTCTGGATCTGCCCCTTAGCATATCTTTCTAGAATCTGGGCTTTGGACACTGTGCTTGTGATTATTCTCAGGTTGCTTCACAAGCAGGAATTTGTCTTCTCCCCACAGATGGTAAGCTTGAGGACTGCCTTGTCTTCCATGTCTTTGGGTCCCCCCAGCAGCCAAAAGCCTGTTCTGAAGGGTGGCAGGTGTCATCTGCAAGAGCTCTGTCCTGGTCCCAGCTAGCCAGCTGATACTAACCCTGACCCTTCAGCAATGGGCTTCATGGGTTAACAGTGCTGGAAGGACAGGGTTTTGTGTTTTGTTTGTTTTTTTGGTCTTCATTTCATCATCACCACTCTGAAGGATTATCCCACTCCTATTACAGATGAGTAAATGGACAAGTGGTAAGCTCCCCAGGGATTCTCATAGCACCAGGAAGAGCCTCCAAGGCAGACCCTGAGCCTTCCTATGTGCCTGCTCACTGAGCTCCAACCTCAATGCCTCCTGAGGGATTTCTGAACTGTCAAGGCCTATGCAACTCGATAATGGGGTGGTTTGTGGGAGAGGAAGATGAAGTCGGGGGGTAAGCAGGCTTTGTATGGGAGGACTGAATTCCATCATGGACACCTGTGTATCTGGGGATTTGGGGGGAGAGGTTAGGGGATGGAGCCGAGTCAGCTGTGCACAGCTGGCAGCTCTTGGGAGGGGCAGGTGTTGTTCCTTGGCTGAGAAGGTACACAGACAAGACGAGGTGCAGATATTGTGCCCTGGCACAGAGAAGGGCACCGAGCTCCAGACCCCGCACCTCTCTACACCTGTTTTACCGGCCCCGCCATGCCAGTGTGGGCCCTACGGGGTACCTGCTGAGACCGCCCAGTCCGCGTCCGCGTCCCAGTCCGCGTCCTTTGCTTGGCTACCGAGGTAACGCCTGGCGAACGCTGGGCGCGTGCCAGAAGCACTGCAAGGACAAAGAGGGTGTGAGATGGCAGTAGGAACAGCCAGGCTTTCATCCTGCGAGGATCATCCTCGGACTAGGGCTGCCCCACTTTAGAGAGTTTGCTAGAGGCCGGCTGGATCCGGGCACTGGCAGGATGAGCCCGGCCAAGCCCGGGCATAGCGAGGATTACCAAGCCCTTTCTGGGGAGCCAAGAGGAGCACCTGGGGCCAGGGGACTAGATGTGTCAACCCTGGGCACGGGCGTGTTGCCAGGGCTGCCTCTCCCCAAACAAACACAGGTTCGCGCGCGCGCGCGCACACACACACACACACACACAACACACAGAGCCACACTCTGTCACACACACAGCAACTCGCAGCAATAGGGAAAGCAAGCGTACTTTATCGGAGACGAAGGTGGAAAGGCATGCCAGGAGTTGGTATTGGGAAATGAGCCCTGGCTTGGGCAACACGATGTTGCGGTTGTTTGTGGGAAAGGGAGATGAAGCAGGGGAGCAAACAGGCCTGGCGCTGAGGAAGTCCACTCAGTCATGGACACCACTGTTCCTGGGGATTTTGCGGGGAGACGTTAGGGGATGGAGCAGAGGCAGCCGTGCCCAGGGAGCAAATCTTGGGAGTGCAGATGTGCCCCGGCACAGAGGAGGGCACCGACATCCAGACCCTCTACCTGGCCAGCCCCTTTTCTCTTGGCCACTCCATGCCATAGCATGGCCCTGCTGGGTACCTGCTGAGACTGCTAAGTCGGTCAGCCGACCGCCTCGTCTGTGTCCGCGTCCCAGTCCGCGTCCAGGTCCGCGTCCTTTGATGGCTACCAAGGTAACGCCTGCGGAACGCTGGGCCCGTGCTAAAGGGACTGCGAGGACAAAGAGAGCACGAGCTGGGACCAGGGGCAGCCAGGCTGTCATCTTGAGACGATCGTCCTTGGCCTGGCGTTGTCTCACTTTAGAGACTTTTCTAGAGGGCAGCTGGGCTTTGGGATTGGGAGGATGAGATCGGCCAAGTCGGCTCATAGAATGGGTAATGAGCCCCATTCTGGCCAGGCTAGAGGGGCATCTAGGGCCAGTGATCTGGGAAGGTCAACCCTGGGAACAGGATTGTTGCCAGCACTGCCTCTCCCCAAAGACACCAACACACACACACACACACACACACACACCCCATTAGAACAATGAAGCAGACTTTGTCCCAGAGGGAGATGGAAAGGGCAGTCCTTCTCTTCAGAGTGTGGCAGCCAGAATGAGACCTGTGCTGGAGAAAGCCCTTCCAAGGTAGCCACCACTGTAGGGCTTTCCAGTCATTCACTTCTGCTGTTTTTAATGTGGTTCAGAATGCAAGGGATATTTTCATCTCCTTCGCTCATTTCTCTCTGTTTAGTTCCCCTTTTCCCCCGAAAAAGGAAGGCCTGAACTTTTAACCAGTAGATTGGAGGGCTTCAGACTGGCCTTATGCCCACCCCTCAGACAACCTCCCTTCTTCCTTCCTCTTCACCCCAGCTCTGCAGCCTCAGAGGGAGTCCACCCTCCAATCCCTGGGGTTAGCTCCTCCTTTGGAGTTGGCTTTGGGCATTCTAGAGAATTCCCTGCTTCCCCCTTTCAGTGTGGCCGGGGGAGGGGGGGCCTTCAGCTTACTCGGGATCATGTTGATAAAGTCCCCTGTTGGCTAGGGGTGTCCCTCCCCAAGTTGGGAGAGCATCTGCTCCCACTGCCCTCGAGCCCTTCCACCGTGCCCCCCTGCCTCCCTTGTGGCTGCTACTGGAGCTGACTTGGAGCTTATTGCAAGGGTGGTGATGTCCCCAGCACCTGGAAACTCCAGCTGCTGAGGGAGGGAGTGGGAAGGGCCCTCCAACGTTCAAGAGGGCCTTCTGTGCCTCAGGGATGTCCAGAGGGTCAAGGCCAACTAAGATTTGTTATCAGTATTATGATTTCCACTTTTTACAATTTGTTTTTAAAACTTTGACTTCCAAAGTCCCTCCTTTCTCCTGCTCCATCCCCAACCCCTCATTGAGAAGGCAAGCAATTCCATATAGGTTATATATTTGTAGTCATACAAAATATATCCATAATAGTTATGTGATGAAAGAAAACATAGACAAAAAGACTCCAGAAAAATGAAGAAAGTGAGCGGAAAAAGTTGCTTCAATTTGTATTCAGACACCATCAGTGCCTTCTCTGGGGATAGATACTATTTTTCATCCTAAGTCCTTCAGAGTTGTCATGGATCCTTGTATTGCTGAGAATAGGCAAGTCATTCACAGCTGATCATCTTACAATACTGCTGTTACTTGGTACTCAATACGTTTCACTTTGTATCAACCCATGTAAGTCTTTTGAGGTTTTATGAAGAGCATCCTGTTCATTCTTTCTTACAGTATAAGAGATTTCCATCATAATTACCTACCGCGACTTATGCAGCCGTTCCACAACCGATGTGCATGCCCTCAATTTCTAATTCTTACCTCCAGAAAGGATCAGCTATAAATATGTGTGTGCATATATGTCCTTTCCTTGTTGGTTTCGATCTCTTTGCTGATATACAAGTAGCAGTGCTACTGCTATGTCAAATATATAAGGGTATGCAGGGTTTTGTAGCCCTTTGGTCATAGTTTCAAATCACTCTATACCATGGTTTCTTCACTTCACAACTCTGACAACGGTACATTAATTTCTGCTTTTTCCAACATCCTGTCCAACCTTTCTCATTTACCTTTTCTCTCCTATTATCGAATCCAATAGGTATGAGATAGTGCCTCAGAATTGTTTTGACTTGCATTTCTCCTTTCACTAGCAAGGCAGATTTTTTTTTCATGTGGCAATAGATACCTTTCATTACTTCATCTAAAAATTGATTGTATCTTTTGATTATGCATCAATTATGCTCTGATTTTTATAAATTTGACAATGTTCTCGAAATGCTGGGAAATGACATCTTTCTCAGAGAAACTTGCTTCAAAATTGTTTTTGACACTTAACTGTTGTTGCCTGTATTTCCCTCTATCCTATTCTATTCTCTTTTATTCTATTGTCTCTCTCCTTTCACCCTGTCCCTCCTCTAAAGTGTTTTGCTTCTGATTCCCCCTTCTCCCAGTCTGCACTCCTTTTTGTCACCCCTCTTCTCTTATCCCCTTCCCATTCTATTTTCCTCTAGGGTAAGATAGATTGCTATACCCCATTACCTGTGTATCTTATTTCCCAGTTACATGTAAAAGCAATTTTTCACATTCGTTTTTAAAACTTTGAGTTCCAAGTTTTCTCCCTTCCTCACTCCACACCCACCCTCCTTGAGAAGGGAAGCAATTCAATAGAGTTTATACTTCTGTATTCATGTAAAACACTTGCATAATAGTCATGTTGTGAAAGCCTAACTATATTTCGCCCCATCCTATCCTGCCCCCCCATCATTTCTTCTATTCTCTCTTTTCCCCCTGTCCCTCCTCAACAGTGTTTGCTTTTGACTAACCCCTCCCCTCATCTGCTCTTCCTTCTATCACTCTCCCCCTTATTCCCTTACCCCTTACTTACTTGTAGGGTAAGATAGATTTTCATATCCAATGGAGTATGTACATTATTTCCTCCTTAAGCCAATTGGAATGGAAGTACAGTTTACTCTTTGCTTCTCATCTTCCCCCTCTTCTCCTCCACGGTAAAAGCATTTTCTTGCCACTTTTATGGGACATAATTTATCCCATTCTACCTCTCCCTTTCTCCTCCTCCCAGTACATTCTTGTCTCACCCCTGCAGTTTATATTTGAAGGTCATGCCTTCATATTAAACTCACTCTATGCTTTCTCATGAGAAAGGTCTCTTGGGTTACAAATATCATCTTTCCATCTTTCCATTTCAGGAAATAGATGGATTCTGTACAGGTTTTTGGCTCTTCTGGCTCCCCATCTCAGTATTCTTTTCTGTTTTCTGTAATTGAATTTTATTGTAGACTCAAACACCAGGGCACAAATACAGAACAGAGAAAAGAAGAAAAAGTATCATGAACTTAAATATTGCATTTTAATTGCAATGTATCAAAAGAAAAAAAGGAGAATGTCATGTGCACAGCAGAACCTAGGAGAGGATTCAAAATATGTAATGATAGATTTTCATTTCCAGAAAGCCTGTATGACAAATAGTACAACTTGTGTCAAAAGTTGTTCATTCTTACTTCCTTGTAAGTTTTCTTCTCTTCTCTGCACTTTTTTAACTTGTTCTTTTTTTCTCCCCTTCTCATCCAACCCCCAGAAAGCTACAATTGAGTGCTGATATATTTCTCTATAGCCATATATACATATACATATACAGACATGTACTTTCCCAAATTCTGCTCCTGACTTTGTATTTATATTTGTGCATATCTCTTTTTTCCTATTTCTCCTGACTCCTCTTCTTTACTTCTACCCACTACCTTCCCTTTCTATTACTTACCCTACACCCCTCCAAGGATCCCTCCCCTATCCTCCAATTCTCAGCAATCTAAGCAACCATCTATAGCCCCCTATAAGCTATTCCCTCATCCTGCCCTCTAGAGATCCCTCTCTTGTCCTCTCCACCATCCCATTTCTTCTAAATTTAGAAGACTTTTATCCCCTTCAAATATATGTATTGCTCCCTCTTAAACTCATTCCCGATGAAAGTAGGTTAACAGAATTTCAAGCCCTCCTTCCTCATCTCCTTCTCCTGCACTGGTGCTTACACTCATACCTCATTTGCATAAAATAATTACTCTTTTTAGCTGTTCCTAAATCATTTTCCTTTTCAAAGTCATCTTCTATTCTGGTCTACCTCAGTGTTTCAGGTGAGCTACTCAGTTATTAATGTAATCTTGGACTTAAGTTTTGCCTTTTACATACATGAAAAGGAAATAGTCTGTCCTTATTGAATCCTTTGTAATAATTCTTTGGTATGTACTTTATGTTTCTCTTGGATGTCATAGGTCAAATCTATTAAGTTTAGGGAATTCAGGGTTTTATTGTGGTTTTTGTTTTGTTGTTTGTGTGTTTTTACAAAATCTTGGATGTCTGACAGTTGAGCAAATGTCTACTGTTTTTATCCAGGGACATGTTTATCTTTGCTGCATATGACATTTTTGGACTGAGCCCTAGTTCTTTTGCTCTTAGATGGATAGTGTTTCAAGACTTGCAGTCCTTTATAATCTCTGCTGCTAGGTCCTGTGTGATGGTGGAACCATCTTATTTAGATTGTTTTTTTTTCTTTGGTTGTTGCTTGTGATATTTTCTCCTTGAGCTGGGTGTTTCTAAATTTGTTTGCAATATTCCTATGAGTGTTCCTCAAAGCATTTATTTTAAGTAGCGATCAATGGATTTTTTTCTATTTCTAATCTCCTCCTTTGTTGTCATGCTTCAGGCCAATATTCTTTAATTGTTTCTTCTATGATTGTATTGAAATTTTTTGTCATAACTGTCAGGTAATCTGATTATTTTTATGTTTTCTCTTCTTGATGTGTTCTCTAGATTGGTTGTTTTTCTTATAAGATATTTCATTTGCTCTTTTATTTCTTTTCACTATCCACATTTGGTTGAATTATTTCTTGACCTCTTCTAATTTCAGCGGCTTCCCCTTGCCCAATTCTAATTTTCAAGGTGTCATTTTTTTCTTTAAGATTCTGGATCCTCTTTTCTAATTAGTTGACTTTCCTTTCACATCTTCTTTTTTTCTTGGATTCTCCTTCCTTGCTTTTCTTTTGTTTAGAATGTCCTCCATCTCTTTCCTTTGATTTTTAAAGTCCACTCAGTGGGAAAGCTAGGAAGAGTGAGAGTAATAGACCTCTGCCTCCTCGCTTCTCTATACAGGGGGGATAAAAAGACAATTGTAAAGGGAAAGCAAGTTAACCTGGTTCCTACAGTTATCTCAAGATAATCCGCCAGATATGGCAGGCCTATAGTTGGCATTGCTGGGTCCTCAATGCAGAGATCCTACAGAGTGCTGAGGGGAG